GCAGGAATGGGGCACCGGCTGGGCTCTCACAAGGTCCCTACTCACCCTTGTGGGCTGGGCTCAACTCCTGTGAAGTAGGACCTCAGACTGGCTCTCTTGTAACAAAAAATCTTCAGTTTCCTGATCTGTGCAGCTCCTCTAGGTATATGGGTGTAGGGTCTTTGGACAGAGTAACTGGCTTGGGGATTGATGGACACATAGGTCCCTGTCACATTGGTAGGGGTTCCTGGGCTCTGGGAGTCAGCTGGCCCCAGGGTTCCATAGTTCTTGAGCTGAGCTCACCTCCACCTCCCTCCAGAGGAGACTGCAGGACCCCTGGCGACCACCACAGTCTATGGCACAGAGCACAACAGCACCTTCCTGGAGTGCCTGCCCAAGTCTCCCCAGGCAGCTGTGCGCTGGTTCTTGCAGAGGCCTGGGGACGAGGGACCTGACCAGGTGAGCGAGGACCCTGTGTTCAGTTTACTCATGTCCTGAGTTCACATCCTTCCCTGAACTCCAAGTCCTGAGCCCTAGGACGAGGCTCTGAGGGGAACCTGCTAAGATCAAATGAAGAAATTGTGTATTAGGCCCCTTGGGTGCCTGGAAGAAGGTGTCCCTGCTCCTGCCATCTGAGAATGCCCAGGCCAGATGTGCCTGGGACTCCTCCAGTGACAGGGAGCCCACCAACTCCCAAGGCACTGAGTTGAGCTCTGATAGGTGGGTAGCAGAGATGGAAGATAGGGAACGGGCTCTGGGCCAGTCAGGAAGCCCCCCAGGCCTACACAGATACCTACTCATCTTTAAAGGGGTCCTTTCCCCAGGGGTTCTTGGTCCTTCCCTGTCCCAGGCCTGTGCCCCTGGCCACTGGCCTTCACCCCTATACTTCCTCCCTGGAGTGCTTGGCTCCACTTTTTGGCCCCACACTTCCTCCCTGGAGTCCAATGGTCTGCCTGGGCCTCCTATTCCCCATCTGGAAAGGTCTGTCAACCCCAGAGATGGCTTCATTCTGGAGCCTGAGAACGAGTGTGGGTGGAGCAGGGTGAGGAACCATTCTCTAGAGCTCCCAGGGGCAGGGAAAGGGAAGGAGTGGGGTGATTATAGGAGGAGCTCTCCTTCCAACTTGGGAACTGGGGGAGGCCAGTCTTGGGCCAGCTGTCGGCAGGCTGGGCACTGAGAAGACTCCCCCAGGGGGTCAGGGGCAGGGGGAGCAATGAGATGAAGTTACATAGCACTAACCGCCCAAGCAGGCCAGCCTCAATGTACAGATTTGCAGACTAAAGCCCAGACAGCAGCCAGGCTGGAGATTGTCCGTGTCAGAACAGCACTCCCGCCTCCCACACTATGATGGGCACTCTGTCCACCCCTGGCTGGGGCTCTGGGCCCTGTATTGTGAGGGGATTGAACAATGCAGGCCATGTGGAGCGGAGGGGAGTTCTAGTATTGGGACTGAGGTTATAGCTCCCCTCTGGGTAAAAATCCATACATAACCTCTTATCCTCTCTGTTCCCTGGGAGTGTTTGCCTGGGCCCCCTAAAGCCAAAATAGGTGCCCTAGAGCTCTGACGAGGGAGAAACCAGTCAATCAAATCTTGAAAGGCCCCCTTTGCAGGCCATGCCCTAGATTATGGGAAGGTGAGGCCCTGCCTGCAATTAGCTCACAGACTTGAGGAGGCTGAGCCTGCCATGCTGCTGGTCCCCTCCTGGGATGGGGAGAATGGGTAAGGGGAAGTGCCCAAGTACTGGGCTCTAAGATGGCAAATTTGAAAGAGCAGAGTGCAGAGAAGCTGATGGTGTGTGCCTTGCTCCGTGCCCCTCTCATGTCCTCCCTCTGTCCAGCAGGTGAAGACTGACGAGAGAGTCTTACAAACAGAGCAAGGGCTGCTGTTCCGCAGGCTCAGCCGCCTCGATGCCGGCACTTATATCTGCACTACGCTGGAGCACAGCTTCTCCCAGACGGTGGCCCGCCTGGCTCTGGAGGTGATCGTTGCCTCACAGCTCAACAGCCTGTTCCCTCAGGAGTCCAGGCAAGAGGAGACCCATGCCCAGGGAGGCCTGGCCTTCACTTCGCCCAAGGCCTGGTACAAAGACATCCTGCAGCTCATCGGCTTCGCCAACTTGCCCCGAGTAGATGAGTACTGTGAGCGCATGTGGTGCTCGTCCAGGAGCCGGGGCAAACAGGCCAAAGGCAAGAGCTGGGCAGGGCTGGAGCTGGGCAAGAAAGTGAAGAGCCGGGTGCAGGTCGAGCGCAATCGGACGCCCCGGGAGGTGGAGGCCACATAGAAGAGGGTAGACGGAAGAGGGGGTGGTTGGGATGGGCCTAGTGGCCCAACATCCACCCCCAGTGTCTTCCAACCCCCAGTGTCTTCCAAACCCCCCAGCTAGGGGGCCAGCAGGCCTGATCATCAATTAGAAATGGGAGTCTTTGCCCTCTAAACCCCTACCAGACTGCCACAGGAAAGGCTGGGGCCTGATGGAGGGACCCTGTGCCTGTGCCCTGCCCCTCTCTGCTCTCAGTTCCAGTTGAAGCCAGCACCCTCCTGCTGCTGGCAACCCCACTGGGCCCATTTGTTCTCAGAGGTGGACCCCAGATTGCATTTCCGGTTGTGCCTAAGGCACGAGGGCTGGGTGGTGCTTTCCCAGCTGTAGAACAATGGCCATTCTGAGTGACCCTTAGCGTGGGTATGTGGGTGCATCCGAAGAGGTGTCTGGGCAGGGGGTGGGCCCTCAGGCAGCCACAGGAGGGTGGACTTTGCCTCTAAGTTAGCACCCGTCAAGAAGACCTACACCGACTGAGCTGGGGAGGAGAAGTAGAGGTGCTGAGAAGGTGGAGCACTTTGTGTCCCGATAGCTTGGTGGGCCCCTGCCACTGCCTACCACCTCTTCTCCATCTCATAACCACAGAAGCATAGACTATTAGAGCTCCCTGCAACCTAGGGGTGGACTTGTCCTCAGGCCTTACTTCATAAACCAAGGGGGCCTCACAGCCTGACTCTCCTTACTCAGGTCCCTGAGCTGCCAGGCCAGCTTTCCTACGATGCCCAGCCCTCCTGATAGGATGCCTCCTCCCCACTATCAGGGTCTTCATGCTGATGAGTAGGGCAAGGGTGGGTTCCAGAAGATCATCCCTGCCTCTGTGGACTAGAGATGGGGAGAGGGGAGCCAGGGAAGAGGGGGCCGTCTTTCCTAAGACAATGCAAGTATGCCTACAGCCTGGGAGGGTGGGAACGGGGCAGATCTGAGAGAAAGCTATGGCTGGTGGGCAGAATCAGGGGTGGGGCTACACATGGGAACACAGAAGATCAAGAGGCTTTTAAGACGGGGAGAGGGTGGGAAACCCTAGGATGGGCTATGGGACCCAGGAGCAGGCATGCTCAAGGACTCAGAATGGTATCAATTAGCCCAGGAGCCATGGGGAAGGCCAGATGTCTCCCACCCTGGGAACTTTGGTTTCTGTTCAATAAGGATTGGTCATAGATGGTTCATTTATGAAGCCTTTTTTTTTTTTTTTCTTTTAAGGGGAAAAATATAGGGGAAAAGGCTACTAAGAACTCTAGGTCCTTGGGGCTAAGGCTTAGGTGGCCAGGACACATTCTGCCTGGGTGTGTTGGGAGTGTTTTGCCATTAGCAGTAATGTCTTTCTTGGGCTGGGGAGCACAGCAGCGGGGAGGAGGAGGACTAAATGAAAAGTCGTTCCCAGCCTGCATATGAACAAGTTAGTGACGCACAAAACTGGCAGGAGGGAGATAAGAGCATCAAGTTCGAGATTCCTTCCATTAAGAAACCAAGACGAAGAAATGAGTTAAAAATAGATAAAAAGCAAGACAAGGTTTCCTGCCCCATCGAACTCAAACCCAGACTGTATGTGCCTTGGATTCTATCTGTATTGTCCCCCTACTCAATTCCCAATTGGGATCTGAAATAGGCCCTCCTTGCCCACTTTGACAGCACAGTAATTGAACCAGAAGCTTTGAGATGAACCTGACAGCACTTTGGGAAGGCTTGCCTGGGGTTGCTGTGACTGGGCTGTCAGCAGGTAAAAGCAGAGGAGAGGACTGTGAGGAGGGGTGTTAGAAAAGAGAGGGGAGGGGAGATAGAGGCCATGGAAGAGAGTGAGGAGAGAAGCCAGAGCCCCAGGAAAGGTGTCAGAGATGCAACCAGCTCTGCCCCTCTGTCCCAGGGAAGCCAGGAAGAAACCACCAGGCCCTCAATGGCCTGTAGGCTGGGCCCAGGTATGACAGGCTCCTGTCAGGGCCTTCTGGGGAAGATACTCTGGAAAATGAAGGGAGGAGCTCAAAATCCTGAACAATGAACACCTGCACTTGAAAAATTATGGACAGCTTCTACCAAATCCCCACCCCGCAACCCTCCATGGTACTGTGTGTTATTAACTCCTGGAAATGGCTCTATGTGTGAATTCTATTTTTGTATTCATATGTTGAGATGGGCTTTGTGGTTTCTCTGTCTTCAGAGCACACTTCCTCTAATTACTATTGTTATTTTCATTGTCATGACCGCCCCCGAGCTCTAGTGAGGATAGCGTGGTGGTCTATTGCATAGAATCTACAAGGAAAAGAATGAAGTTAATATTTACATCACATAATTATATTATTATTGTATCTGTGTATTTCTGTGCTAAATTGACTGATACCATCTGTGTGAGTTGGAAATGAAGAGCCTTTTACCTCCATTCCACAAGGGAGAAGGCCACCCTAGGTGGTATTTTCTAGAAGGGAGGGTGGGCATTAACGGAAGGAAGGAGTCAGAAGGCTTATTAAATTAGGAAAATCCTGCCCCTCGGGCTTCTGAGACTGACCTTGGAACTTCAAGAGGATCTAGAGCCAGGAAAAAAAAAATGCTGGCAAAGGGCAGCTGGGTATGTAGGCAGCCTTGCTCTTTTTTCACAATAACACTTGACAGCAACACTTGGCCTGATGCCTTTCTTCATCCCAAACCACATACCAATGTTTATTAAGGCCACTGTGCTCTTGCCTGGAGGGCTGGGCTGTGCCATGGGGGCTGTAGTTTCTGGGGGGGGAGAGGAGGCCCCAAGAGTCTGGCCTACTGGGCGTGCTGTAGAAGTTGCCTCTAACCATGGCTCCCACTCCTCTGTGACATTATGCTGCTGCCCAAAAAGCAGACTCCACTGGTGCTGGAGAGAGGTGAGAACAGGTAGGGACAGACATTACCCTTGCTTAGATGGGCCTCTCAGTCCATATTATAGACAAGGGGGGCTTAATAGAACAGGGCCTATCAGTTCTGTCTTGCAGCCCAGGCCCCTCCTTTTGCCCTCTGGTTCCTGCATAAACACTTAGGCCCGAGAGAACCTGAAACTTGTTGTCCCACCTCAAGCCATCATCACCACCTACTCATAAGTATCATCAGAGCACCCACTTGGCACAGAGGAGGGGTGTGTGAACGTGACCTCCATAACCCCTTTCTCCCCTCATGCAATGCTGTCCCCTAGCACTGGGTGCCTCTGCTCCCACCATCACTGCCACCTGTGCCCTGAAGACCCCTCAGGCCTGGACTTCTCCCTGGTCCCCCACTCCTCCTCCTTCCTCCCATCTTAAGTCCTATTTCCTGTCTCAAGGATTTCACTCTATCTTCCTCTGCCAGCTTTTTCCTCTAAGTCTCATACTTCCCTTAGCCTTTGGGTCTCTGTTTCATGATTTCTCAAACACATTTAGAAGTGGAAAGGGCCTTCGAGAAAGGTAATAGTCGAGTATTTTCCAAAATGTTGTCCTGTGGAATAATTATTCCACAAAAATGGTCAAGTAAATCTGGGATTTCTGCTCCCTTAACCTCATGGAGCTGTGCACTGCCTGCTTGCTTGCCCTGTGAAATTCCTGAGAAGCCCAAATTGATCTCCCATTAATTTGCATTCCTACTGTATGCTACATAATTCTCCAAAACGTTCGGTCCTCTATCCCTTTTTCCCATGGAGTCATTACCATCTCATGTTTCTAATGTTTTGAAGGGTATACTTTAGGAAACTGCTGATTAGATTAATTCTTTCTCTTAACATGTGAGATTAATTTAATTTATTAATCTCTGCCTTCTAAGTCCCATGGCCGGCAACAGAGCAGGATCTGCCATCCCAGAGCCAGGCTGCCAAGCGGCCCGGCTGCTGACCCTTGGGGTCTGGACTCTGCCCTGCTTCTGGCTCCCATCTCCCACACTCAGCCTGCATCCCCGGCTTACTTCCTGCTCCTTTTGTATCTGGCATGGTCCTCTGTGGAGGGCTAGGATTCACCCCAAGCCTGTGACTGTCCTGTAGTCCACAGACTAGTTTCTAAGGAAGGGCGGGTGACATGGAGGGGATAAAATAAGGGAGGAAAGCAGCCCTTTTTACTTTCTCAAATGGCTTCTGTGCTTCCCTTTCACTCAGTTAAGCCCAGCTCAGGTCCCAGACATCTCTAGAATTTCCCAATTGGAGGAGTAGGCAGGGCAGGCATCACGAGCCTGGCCTGCCTCCTGCCAGGCTGCCCTCCCTAGCTAGCAGAGGCCCCACATGCAGCTAGAGCTGGGTGGGCCCCAGAGGACTTGCTTGCTTCTGCCGGTCCAGAAGCATGCAACTGAGGCTTCTCCAGCCAACCACATCTCCTCCTTAGAACTAGGAAACAGTTGCTCAGAAACAGTCCAATTTCCACCTGAGTTAAGGATCCACCCTAGCCTTGCTCAAGTGCTAGTCTGCAGGGGCTCCTGCAAGGAGAAAGTTCAATACACACCAAGATCAAATCCCTAGGGTTTTCTAAGACTACAAACTTGGCCCTGATGTGGAGAGAGAATGAGTGGGTGGAGCTAGCTTCGGATACAATATCTGATAAGGAGCTCAGGGATTGTTGGGCCTCCACCCTGGCTCCTCTTCCGGACTCACCCACACCCCTGGTGCACAGGAGATGAGGCAATGGCCTCCGTGGCCCTGTGCCCACTTCCCACTGCCCAGCCTCTGCTTCCTTTGCCATGGGTACCACTGCTGGGCCCCTCTCGCTTAGAGGCTATGTCCTAATGAAGCCTTTCACTTTCCATGCTGGATTTTCATTAAGGAAACTCCTGGTTCCTCAATGCAGCCTTAAAAAAAAATCATTCTCCACCGAGGATGGGAAATGCTGCATAGTCTCCAGGGGGCAGGCCTCTTCAGGGGTGCCTGCCCTCATCTTCACACCAGGCCACCAGCAGTCAGTCAGTAGCTTACACTCAGGGACTCTGCTGATGAGGGGGACTCAGGTGACCAACTAGTCTTGACTTCTTTAACCCAGGGAGGAAGATGACTAGAGTGCACCCTAATCTATACCAATGAGGTATGTTTCACTGCCATGAGCATGCCATTGGGCAGGCAGGGAAGACCAGGACAAGGGGAGAGTTGTGGGCTGGTGAGATTCCAGAGTGAAGCAGAGTCCAGGTGTCTGCCATCAAATGGAGGGGATGGACTAGGGACACTCAAAGCCCAGATTGGCCTGTTAGGAGGACAAGGCTCTGCTCTCACAGATAAAGGTATAGTAAAATGACATGGCAGACTAGCAGTTTGCTTTATGGACATGACCTCATCTGTTCACTCTGCCTGCCTACCCACCCCCAGCTGATAAGAATCTGGTGCTGTTTCCTGTAGTCCAAGGGTCTCAGACAATGGTGTGAACGGCTGGCCCTACTGGAAAGGACATTGTTCAAGGAAGAAAAATAACACACCAGCACAAAGCTAGGGCAGGATCTGTCTAAATGTAAGGGTCTGTTTACAAACCTATGATTTCCAAGGGGAGGAACACAATGGGAAATTATTTTTGGTGAGGCTGGAGTCCCCTCTAGAATGCTCCTGGGGGCCGGGGATGGCTTTGATGACCCAGGCAGGTCTCAGATGCTCTGAGAGGGATGGACACTGATGGCTCGATGCCTTCCTGTTTATCAGGGGTGTACATGTAGAGCAAGGTCAAGGAACAAATCTAAACCAAAGATAAGGGGGAGTAGCTCCTGGGCCTCACTTCTTTTCTTCTGGGTCTCAACTGCCCCACTGCTCAGGGACCCGAGGACTGGAGGAGGTTTACTAGGGAGAAGGGGGGACAAATTTTCTGCTTTTTGTTTTCTAAAAAACATCAACTCTTTGGTTTATGGCCTCCAGTTTCCATGTTGCTTTTGGGGGAAAAAAAAAAGTGTA